TCAACTGCATATTATAAAATAATACTGGAATTGGGTTGGTTGTTGTAGGCAGAGGCCTACTCATTAGTTCTATTCAATTTTATTTATACAATCAAAAGGGAACAGAAATATTGGGGTTGATTTACTAAAACTGGAGAGTGCAAAACCTAGTGCAGCTGTGCATGGTAGCCAATCAGCTTCAAATTTCAGCTGGGTCAATTAGGCCTGGTTCACACCAATGTGTGGTATGATTTGCTTCTGGAAAAAAAATCCCTGATCCTAAGGCTGGCCATACATGGGTCTATCTCTGAACGATTTTTCGTTCGAAAGCCAGACCTAAGAATAATCGGCCGATTTTCGCTCTGTCAGTGGGGCAATGGCAAACCAATTTTCGTGGTTCCTCCCCATTTCGTTTATCGGGCATGCTGGAAAAATTGTGAAAAACTACCTACTTTCAAAATCATTGATGGCACCATCGGATTACAGAACGAACGATTTTTTGATTTTCGATCGAAAAATCGTTCGGAATTCAACCCATGTATGACCCTTTCACATGGAGTGGACCCGTTTGGCAGATCTGCTTGCTCAGCAGGAGATCTCTCTGTTGATCCCCACTGAGCAACTGGATGATAGTTTTGTGTCCGCTCTGCTGCTGCAGAGCAGACACAGAGCTGCTCCCTCCCCTCAATGGGTGTTCGGATGAAAACAGACCATCTGTCCGTTTTCATGCGACCCGATCCGACGGATGTAAGGGGAATTGGATCTCCATCTGTCCCTTTTTGGCGGATTGGATCGGATGTCGGCGGGTGTAAATGGACACATGTCCGTTTATACCTGCCGTTCCATAGAGGAGAATGGAGGTTCCAATGTTGGTCGTCTGCACAGCATTCTAGTTTTCCCCTCCATTGCCCCTTTCCATCAGTGCTGGGTTCACATTAGCTCAGTGAGGGAGAAGAGAAACATTGGAATACTAGTCAGTACCAGTGTGCAAAAGTGTATTTGCTATGGAAGAATAAACCACCTCTAATGTTGGGTGTCCTACATGTGTGGATGTTGCTGTGGTATATAAAACTAGTAGAATAATTTTCCACATTTTAGAATGGGGTGCCTCAAGACTTTCCATAATTTTAAAGGGTATATTGACTGAAAAAAGGTTGATAAACACTGCCCTGGACTGAGTCAGGGCTAGAAGTCTGCAATCAGCAGGGAGTATGAGCTTTGCTGGTTGGAGAGCTATAGGTCTGACTCAGGAGGGGGTGTGTAGAACCTCTGCAGAGAGACCACTGCTATCACACAGAGGACAAAGGTCCTTTCCTACAGCATTCCAGCAGTGGACAGGCTTTTCTACTCAGGCCTTTGTCCTTGAAGAATGTATGGCAAACATTTTGTATTGTGGTGTCCAGTTAAGGTAGACTTGTCCTCATTTTTGCAGGTTTTCACTTGGACAGTACATGAAGGTAAATCTCTCCAACACAGACACCAGATTGGCTATCCAAACCTCCCCTACTCTGAATATCTATATAAAATGTACAAATACATGAAACATATTTTTTTTAGCTCTAGTTCTTTTAATGTTTAGAAATAATCCAGAATTTGTCAGGTTGGGTTGTTTTTAAAGGAAAAAGTGTACTTTGATGGAAAAGATGTACTATATACAGTATACTGACTCTTATAGAGCTTTATTGTATCCTAGCAGGAATTTTAGTAATGAGAAAATGTTTCACCTTGTTATTTTTTTAGGCTGATTTACTAATAAAGTTTAGAATCTTCAAACAATAAATAGTGTGAATATTCACTTTAAACATCAAATTTCATGACTTGCAAAATTCCTGTTTACTTGTTATGTCCAACCATGTGCAAATGAAATAAGTAAACTGGCGTTTGGATAATTTAAGTGAATCTATACTAAATTTATTGTGTGAAGATTCTCATCTTTTTGATGGTTCAGCTTCAATACATCGTGTATACACAGATGAATTGTGTTTCATGTATGCTTTGTAGTTTAGTCTAGTTTATATTAAATATTTAATTTTTTCTTAATTTTTTTATTTCATACTAAACAGTATATATTCAATATAGATATATACATTATCACATACAATATATAATCAATATATATCCACTATATTGTTGATTTTTGTGAGTCTTAACATAGGTTCACACCTAAGCGTTTTCCACAGCATTTTGCAGAAACACACTACAGTCCATTTAACATGATTTCCTATGGGACCTGTTCACATCTCCACGTTTTCACCCAGTGCATTTTTTGGAAAGGGTCAGGGACTTTTTTTTAACTCAAAAATAGTTGTGCAATAAAACTCACCCACACAGGGGCTATCAATATGCACAGAAGCGTTTTGCATTTTAAATCTGCTTAGCAACAAGAAAAAAAATTAAATAAAAGCCGCATCAAAAACGCAGCAAAAATGCATGTGCAAAAATGCAAAATGCACTGCAGAAATGGATCAAAAGCAAAAGCGAGTGTGTATGGCCAGCTTTAGGTGTTTGCTTTGTTGGGTTGCATGGTATTACTAGCAAATGGATGGAGTAGAGTGGGGTGAGATGAGTTACATATAGTTACATGTTAGTCTGGCTGAAAAAAGACAAAAGTCCATCCAGTTCAACCATTAAAAAAAAAAAAGTTATAATCCTATACCCGCAGTTGATCCAGAGGAAAGCAAAAAAAACCCAGCAAAGCATGATCCAATTTGCTCCTGCAGGGGAAAAAATTCCTTCCTGATCCCCCGAGATGCAATTGGATATTCCCTGGATCAACTTTACCTATAAATGTTAGTATCCAGTTCAGGGGCGGACTGACAACTCATGGGGGCCCCTGGGCAATAGGGGATCATGGGGCCCCTGTGTCCTTGCCCAAACTCAAAAAAGCCTATGAATAAGGTACCAGGGGTATCTCATGGGGCCCCCTACTGACCCCGGGCCCTCAGGCAGTGCCCGAGTTTCCAAATGGTCAGTCCGCCCCTGATCCAGTTATACTCTGTGTATCTAGGAAAGAATCCAGGCCTATTTTAGCCCTCAGCTCTCACTGTGAAGAAACCTTTCCGTGTTTGGAGATTACATTTCTTTTCCTCCAGACGTGTGTGATAGTAAGTTAGTAATACATTCACCTTTATAACCACCATTTAGTTAAATATTCTGTTTTCCACTTCTTCCTCGGCCTTAAAAGTCTAAAATGGATTCTGTAAGAGCCAGCCTGAGAAGGTGCAAGAGTTCCCAAAAGTGTTGGATTAGATGTGCAGAACTGGGCTATAGAGCTAAAGGATCTATTCATAAAACAGTGAATGTGACAGTCATCAAACATTCTCTGGTGGTGAATCAATCACTGTCATTTAAAACCCATGTACCTGCAATATTCACCTGCAGTCCCTATGGGTAAACTATACACTACAGCCTCATCATTCCACTCTACTGATGTCCCTTTTATTGAAGTTTCCTTAAGTTTAGTCAAAGATATTTTTTGTAAAAAAATCAGCACAAGGAACAGTAATGCAAAATGTTCCTTTTGTTACTGGCTGGTCTGAACTCCAAAGTCCTCTGCCCCCAAAACATACTCCACAGGTATAATTTCTGGTGCTGCAGGGGTTAATACCATCACTTGACTTGTGACAGGTGCTCATAAGGAGTGCGCACTATTCCAACCATTTCTGCCCTCATCCTTCACAGAAGCTGTACTATAGCAATCAAAAGTGCTCTATGAATGAAGTAAAGGAACCTTTCTTTCATCCACTTGTCCTCCATTCACCGAGCGCTTTTCATTAATGGAAGCTATAGTATATCTTCTGTGAATAGAGGAGGGGGGCGGAAAGGGATTGTATTAACCCCTGTAGCACTAGAAGAATACAATTGTGGGGGCATGTGGGGAAGGGAGGGGGACTTTGAATTTCAACTAACAGACCAGCCAGTAGCACAAGGGACACTTTGCATTGAATTTAAATATGAATGAAAGTACTGTCCCTTGTGCTATTTTTTTTAATGAATGCTTTATTAATATATTATTATAACAAAATAATAAAATATTGCAGAAACTATCATAACTGATTTATATATCAACCAATTACATGTTACCTTTCCTAGATAGGTTTTTTTAAGAGTTCTTATTGCCATATGCACAAAATGTACAGCATAAAAGTACATAAAACATGTTGCATAATATATGAATATCAGTATAGAGCCACATCATCAATCAACATCCAATTACAAGATGACATTCCACAGTGCAGCTTAACTGGGTTCCCAGAGAGATGGAGTTAACCTCAACCACTTCATATATAGCATTAAAAGCCAACACAAATACGTACAGCATTTTTTTATGTTTGTTATGTAGAGGAAAAAAAGGGCTATATATAACTGTCTAAAAAAAATCACCAACATATAAAAAAAAGAAAGAAAAATAAAACCAAACATTTTGTATTGAACCACCACCCTCCTATTCCATGCCAATGTAATAACATTAGTGCTCTACTGCCTCCCAGTACAACAAAAGAGCAAATTTATTCAGTAGATGAACGGTAAGCATGTCCTACACACTATACTAGAAAAGAGCAAACAGGTGGCACAAACACCTAGTGCATTATCCACAGTTTATTCAAAATGTATAAAGGACAAAAAACAACACAAGCATAGCATGTATGTAATGCTTTGTATGACAATGGAGATGGTCACAACAATGGGCAGGGTGTCTGACTGTCAGTGTGGTCAGGTTGTTGATGCGTTTCGGGGAATCCCTTTCCTCAGAGCTGGTCACAAGCATTACATACATGCCATGTTATGACTATGTTTTTGTCCTTTATACATTTTGAGTAAACTGTCGATAATGCACCAGGTGTTTGCGCCACTTGTTTGCTGTTTTCCAGTTGCTGACTTCCCCATCTGAGGAGGGCTGATTCCCGACACGTTATCCATAGGCCACCTTTTGTTCTGGTTCCCCTGGCCTTCCTTTGGCAATTGATTCCTGGAGCGCTGGAGAGTACACACTGTTACACACTAACCCTAGGTTCACATCTGTGCAGGGGCGGACTGACCATTTGGAAACTCGGGTGCTGCCCCAGGGCCTGTGGGTCAGTAGGGGGCCCCATGAGATGCCCCTGGTACCTTTTTCATATGCTTTTTTGAGTTTGGGCAAGGACACAGGGGCCCCATGATCCCCTATTGCCCGGGGGCCCCATGAGTTGTCAGTCCGCCCCTGCATCTGTGCGGGTGGTGCCACTGTGGATCCGCATGAAAATCCGTGCAGCTGCACCACCTGCACAGAGAAATGCGGACCCGCGGGCGGGTGCCATTAATTCTAATGGCACGCCGCCGCATTGGAAAACGCAACTGTACTGGGAACCGAGGTTCCCGTGTGGGCTGCGTTTTCCAAAGAAGTGCAGGGGCTTCTTCCCCACGTGTCACGGGCATGGAAGTCCATTCAAATGAATGGGCTCTTGTGCCCATGCAAAACGAGGCCTGCACAGCCGCATATTTGTGAACCAGGGGTAATTCTACCCCTCAGAGGCATTCCTCTACCATCTGATGACTCTATCCAACCTTTCCTAGATAGGTTTAGTTAGACTAATAAAGTATGATCTGTAATTGGGCTGCTTTGAAACTTACAATCTCATACTTTGTATATGTGACTAAATAAAACGCTTTGTTTGTGGACCTTTGAGGCTGCTAGAACCAGTTAGAACTACTGCTGTGAAATGGATGTGATGTTAGAATTAATGTAGATGCCTTAGGGAACAATTTTGACTTGAAACAGAGTTTAGATATTGTCATGTCTGCAGTGACCTGAAGGGTTAAGTAGAGGAATAAAGCAAAATACATAAATATTAACAGGATCTAACTAGAGTGTATACTAAAATAACCTCAATTTAGCCCTTCCTTGGAAACACATGGACGGCACTAGTGACTGGCTGAATGTTCGGGTCGAACGGAAGTTCAACTCAAACGTGGGCCATTTGTGTGTTCGTTGAACACATGAACGGTACAGACGTTCGGCAGGCTATTTGCCACAATACACTGCACCCTGACAGTGCATTGTGATTGGCCAAAGCATTGCACCTGACCACATGTTCCGTGCAATGCTGTGGCCAATCACAGGGCATGATGACGTCACAAGGGCTGGGGGTGATCAACCCTATTTAAGAACTGTCATCGCGGCGCAGCTGTCAGACAGCAAGAGCCAACTCCGAGGGCTGAGTGGAATTTTTGTTCTTTTTTTCGGGGTGGCGGTTAGCATTGTGATTCACGTTGGATCTACTTTGGGGAACATTTTTTTTATTTTTAATAAAGGATTTGTCATACTTAGATATGGTAAGATACCGCAAAACACAATGCAGAAACGCATCAAACACAACCTACATAGGTGTGAACCTAGACTGAATGTTCGACCTTGAACCAAACAGGGGAGGGTGTTCAGCCCATCACTAGACAACACTTCCCTAAAATATCTAATTGTAAGCAAACATTAGAGACTCTAACAGGCACTTCCAACCATCCATATACCCATCCACCCACCTACTTCCTGCTCATTCCTATTTGCCAGTGAGGCAATCCATCATAGAGGTGGGCTAATAGATATATGAGTTTGCTAGAGCTAGCTGCAAGTTCCAGAACTACCCAAAACTGGAAGGGCAGACATTCCTAGGCACTTTATACCTGCAACAGTCTCATTAAGGTCCTGCAATGCATTAGTAGGTGATTATAAAAGCATTGTTCATATTATATACTCTTATAATGTAGGTTCCTATAACATTTATTGTAAGATCAAAACTGTTGACCAACCTATTGAAGCTGGCCAACAAATACATATCTTTGTAAAAGGTCGTTAAATTCTTTGTTGTATTTATTTTGTGCCAAAGATCAGTCTAACATGCTTCCACATGTGAATGTATAGATATTACAAGGAAAGAAAATGTTCAGGAATTTATATTTAATTTTGCTGTTATCGACCTGTTATTGGTCTTTTCTGTGCCTTTTATATAAACTGGCTATTTCATTGGAAAAATTGTGTCTTGTATGTGTTATTTATATGTACTTTATCTATGGGATGCATTAAAGACTGAATGTTCTGAAACAAATTACTCTTGTTTGATTGTTTTGGCTTTCTATGTATTTTTGAGACACTAACATGCACCCTATCCCCAACTGCCAGCGCTGAGCCCCTGAAACTAAGTGACCACAGTGGAAGAGTAGCAGCTGAGAGTCTAGAGGCAGGATTTTTTACAACAGCAACATTATAAATGTACCATTTTTCATTAAAATTCAATCCTTATGCCCTGCTACAATTTTGGCCCATTCCTGCTGAAGTCAGGTAGAGGAGCTGCTTGGCAGGGGATAGTAAAGCCAAAGGACAAAGAACAAGTAATGGTCACAATGTGTGTGAAGAGCTATCATGAGCAATACCAATGGTTACCATGTGCTTCCCTGGGGGACAGAATCTAAGTCTTCATTACTGCCCCTGAGTGTGGGGATAGATGTAGCAACAAGATTTATTCATATGAGCACCCTTCTAGTATAGGATGCTAGGTAAATTTAGTTTTTGGCTTGTTCTGTAATCAGAAGAGAAGAGATTGGTTACTTTGGTCTGCTCATGGTTTTACGGGCTGTTTGTTTCCCCTTGCCTCTGTGAGAATCTTCCAGAGCTTAGGGCAGGAAATTAAAATGACTAGCCTAAATATTTACTATGCCCTGGCCTATCCCTGGGCAGGTGTGCCCAGAAGGTAGTCAGGAAGGTGGTAAATAGGCTGAAGCCCTGAGCAGATATTTCCACACCAAGGATGGATCTGTGAGCGTCAGGGGGCTGGTTGCCTCTGAAGCTCTTCTGGACTGAATTCTAGACGTATCTATCAAAGAATCAAGTCTGAGGATGTAGATGCTCTAGGACTTGTGAATACAGACCCAACATTGTAATCAGATAGACCTGCCTCATGCTCCCCAGGTATGAGACTTTAAAGCAGAGCTCCAGTCTCTGGAGAAAAAAATAAGTCAGCAGCTACAAAAACTGTAGCTGCTGACTTATAAAAATCTGCCATTTACCTGTCCCTCAGTCCAATAGTGTGCTCACCGTAACTTGGTTCGCCGGAAATCCTCTGTCCCCAGTGCCTGGCATCTTAAGTGTGGGCACCCAGCTGTGACAGCTTGCAGCTTCACAGCTGGATGCCCACTGCATATGCTTGAGTAGCAATACACATGTTGAATGGTCCTGCAGTCTTCTGGGATCTGTCACATGTCCCAGAAGACTGCAGGGAAAAGGAGACCTTCCCCGTCGGATCGCCTAGGCGGTCGGAGCAGAAGTGGGACTGGGTACCTGTCAAAATTAGATACCCGCTCCCCAAAGGTGGCAAATCCTAATGAGCAATGGGGGATGAGTTGTTAAAGCAGAACTTCCCCTTTTGGGTGGAGCTCCGCTTTAACTATTCTGGAGTTATCTCATGGTCCCTAGCTATGAGAAAATAGACTGTTCTGTAAAATATCTCATGGTTTCCAGCCGTGAGAGCTAGACTGTGCCACCTTTACTAAGAGAAGCATGTCCTCTGCCAACTGTTCTAAGCATTTTAGATCCCATGTCGCTTATCCCTCTTCTATTAAAGTTCTGCAAGCAATAAATCTTAAAAAGACATTCCCTAGACCAGAGTGGAAGGACTGTTGTATATGTGACTTGCAGCCACTGTACTACATATGGAGAACCCATCTAATTCTCACTGGCTCATTTAGGAGTAGTGCTGAGGTTGAAAGCTTAGTTAGGAGAATAGCTAGATTTTGGAATCTATGGAGCAGTAAGTCTCTGGTAGTGCAGGGTCAGAACCAAGGCCAAGACCAGCAATGGCATACACAAATCAAGTATCAGGGCCAGGGGCGGACTGACAACTCATGGGGCCCCTGGGCAATAGGGGATCATGGGGCCCCTGTGTCCTTGCACAAACTCAAAAAAGCCTATGAAAAAGGTACCAGGGGCATCTCATGGGGCCCCCTACTGACCGCGGGCCCTCCCCAAGTTTTCAAATGGTCAATCCGCCCCTGCTCAGGGCTGGGCTCCTGAAATTTAACAAGCAGCTCTTTTCTTTCAATGCTCAGAAGCTGCTCAGTTGTTGCCAGCCACTCATTAATTACCAGCCACTCATTCTTCACAGTGACTCATCTGGATAGTATTACCTGTCTCATTAGTCCAGCCCACAGCCAACCCTTTTTGCTATTTTAGCAGTTTAGCTCATTTCCTCCTTGCCCTTGCATGATCTATGACCTCCAGTGTGTTCCTACCTGTGTTCCTCTCAGTCTGGCTGACTTCTCTTCTGATTCCTGTTCCTTGGCTCCTGACCAAGCTTCTGGTTTCCTGACTCTGGCTCGTCTGATTATCTGCTCTGGCATCCAAACCCTGATTTCTCTTTTGACTACTTTGCTGATTTATTTATTTATTTCAGGTACTTATATAGTGCCATCAATTTGCACAGCGCTTTACATATATATTGTACATTCACATCAGTCCCTAACCCTCAAGGGGCATACAATCTAAGGTCCCTAACTCACATTCATACATACTAGGGCCAATTTAGACAGGATCCAATTCACCTACCAGCATGTCTTTGGAGTGTGGGGGAGGAAACCAGAGTACCCAGAGGAAACCCATGCAGGCACAGGGAGAACATGCAAACTCCAGGCAGGTGGTGCCGTGGCTGGGATTCAAACCAACAACCCTAGTACTGCCAGGCGGAAGTGCTAACCATTTAGCCACTGTGCTGATCTATGTTGTATTTGCTATTTCATTAAAGGTGTGATTTTAACTGCAATTTCTGTCTCCTCCTGGTTTATGGTTTCTGACACCAAGGTGCCAAAGTACAAATATAACTATAGTCAAGCCTAGAGCCAGATTTATTAACTAATACCCATCAAACCTCAGAGACAGTTCAGCAGTTGGTAAGCAAAGTTTGGATTACAAGCCGCACCAGTAGGCATGATGGGAACTAGGTAATTAATGGACATTAAAGGAGAAGGTTCAGCGGAATCTACAATTCTGTATATGTCATAAAACAGAAATATGATACAGCCAGTGTCTAAGATGTGAAAGTTACATAAAAATGACTTTACTGGACACACTGTTAAAAAATGTAACAAACTATGATCACTGAAAATATGCTGTAGTTTCCTTTTAGTGTCTGACAATGGTTTTATAGAGCCATGACTAGCAGGACTCCAGATGTGGTGATTTAATAGCTTTCAGTTGATCTGTAGGATACAGAGCATTTGAAGGGAATTAATTGAAGGGAAACTATTATATTTTGAGTCGTCATTTCTCATCAGAGTCAACATGCTCAACAACCACAGGAATAAAGACAGCACAGCATGTGGATATAACACAATCCGTTTCCCCTACGTTCTTTCTCTA